GGAAACCAATTTGACAATAAACTATTTGTAAAAAAAAAAAAAAAAAAAAAAAAAAAAAAGATTGGGTGTTCACCTCCGTCCAGTCAGCTGAGGCAAAGAATTTGAGTCACATGGTGTTACTATGGGAACCAAACTCACCCCTTAGCAGGACCTATGGATGAGACCCAGTTCTTAGCAGAGGGAGGCAAGAAGGCACTCCAACAGAAGTTTGCTGTAATAAACAGGACTTAATTGTCTCATTCTTTTGTTCTGCCCTTGGCCTGTTTTATGATCTAATCTTATTCCCTGGGTATGGACATGTTGCTGCCTCTGCTCTCGGACTGTCCTCCAGACTTTCAAGTGTTGTCAGCTAGCTCTTGTGCTCACTACTCTCATCGTATTTCTCCAATTCTTGTTTGTTTTAAGAAATGTGTATAACCTGGCATGATGTGGATTTCTGCCAGTCATTGTAAGCCAATGAATTGGACAAAACCTTCTTCCCAGTTGGATCAGCATATCACCACAGGCTCCTGGGCCTCCTGGTGATGTTTCTATAATGGGCTTTACTCTCATCTAGAGTTCAGGAGGCAAAACAATTTGGTAGCAATAGTACCTGCAGAGAACATCTGGATGAGAGTTAGGTGAACTGAGGCACCCTATTTCCTAATATCTCTGAATGCAGCTTGGTGATTCATCCCTTTAGTTTTAACAGAGTCCTTCCCTTTCCAAATCTATGACTATCAAACCACATTTGTCCATTCTTCTTAAGTAGTTTTTCAAGTGCACCTCTGGGGTTCCATAGCACATCAACCATGTAGATCTCTGCAATTTATACATATATTTAACACTTGGATTTATTATAGATTTTTTCTACATGTCTAAAAATGAATTCTCTAAAATTTCACTCCTTGCAATACTCACTTCATGAGCTCCTCATACACAACAATTTTGTTGTTGGAAATATTTTCGAAATACTCCTTAGGAAATCCTGTTATACAGAGTTAAGTAGGTATCTTTACCACAGAACTTTTCCAAGTCTTTGTGTGCAAATGTATGAAACTAAATGAAAGAAATAGGGTTTTCAGCTCAACAGGCATTTATTTGGTAACACGTTTCTGTATGCCTGTTTGTGTATCTCTCTTGGGGAGAAATACCTTTTAATAGATCATAAGTTTAATTAAGTTTTAATAATAGCTTAAAGCACTGTTTTTTCAAAGCAGAGATTGCAACTTACAGTCAAGTGAAGTCATTAAGTCAATTTAGTAGGTAATAACAAATATATTTTATTAAATGAGAGGATAATATAGAAAATTCTGCAGTATATTACACAAAGATGGTTAATACTATTTGAAATTTTGATTTTAGTTACTTGTGTGTGTGTGTGTGTGTGTGTGTGTGTGTGTTAAAAGCATTGAAACATAAAATATACTTCATATTGTAAATAGCAGTCCAAATTTTGAATGCCACTAGTCTGAAGCATAGGCTTTTAGCTAAATGTAAGAGGATTAAACAAACTACCACTAGGGGGAGAGGTGGCCTAGCAGAGAGTGTAGTACTGGGAAGATTATAAATAAGTATGATCTGGCTGCTTCCCCAAACAAGGAGGGTTAGAAAGAGGACATTAGAGAAAGGAGTAAAAAAAGTTTATTCCTAAATCCTCTAAGATTAAATGTCTGCTGCACATCCCAGGGAACAGAAGGATCAAATCTTGCAAATGCAAACGGACAAAATAGAAATAGTGGAGGATTCAGGATGGGGTAGTTCAGCTGTGTCCCTAACTAATTAGTGAGCCAGGAATGTATATACAGAATGCTAGACACAGAAGTAAGACAGAGAGAGCTAGGACTCAAGGGCTCCTTATGCCATCAGAAACTGTGAGTGAGTCATTTGTGTGTGTGTGTTTTTGTTTTGTTTTGTTTTGTTTTGTTTTGTCTTCTCTTGGCTATTCAGAGTGAGAGTGCTTCCTGTGTGTTGAAGAATGTCCCCTTGGTGTGGTTCATGGTGAGAGGCAGGGTCACAGCTCCCATTACAGAGGCTAACATGGCAGATAGCTAAAGGTGGTAGGTAGTTCTCTGGAGGTTGGGGGGTATGGTCAAAGCATGACAATAGTATACCTCAGTCAGGTGGTGGTGCAAAAAGAAATAATTAGAAATTATTCACAAAGGCTATGGAGCTTGGGTTC